AATATTTTTTATCGTCTCATTATATCATTGACTGACAAATCAGAATCTGAAATCTGCCCAGCCGCACCTACAATTTCGCCAATACGTAAAAATCCGACAAATATTGTTAAGAATGCAGCTTTAAATAATTTTAACTCATAATTTGAAATACACAATATTGGAAAAATATTTAAAAAGTCATGGCAATCTAGAATAGCCTCGTGCTCCTTGTCAAACCTTCTAATATCTTCCGGACTAGGAAATATTTCACGAGGTTCTCAAATTGTGTCTTACACTTTTTGCCTATAGCGGGTAAATATAATTTTGCAGTAGATCCTTTATAACCCATTAACAATAAATGGGCCAGAAATTGAGTTAAATGGTTTTATTTCGTTGCCGCAAATGTAAATTGCAAGAACAATTGAGCTCAATAAAAAAGGATATTTAATCCCTGAAGGGTTTAGACTGCCATTCATTGGACCAGGGCAAAAAATTTTATTTTTTGAACGCATTTCAAATGTTGCACAAGAACCCATTGGCAAGCAGTTATCAGTATATTAGTAATTGCTTATTTTAAAACTTCATCGTCCTCTATCGTACAGCAGATTTTATATCAATTTTACCAAGATCAAGTTTCCCAACTCACTTATCATATCAGTACATGATCAAATTTGGTGTATTGAACGCTACTGAAATCTTTTGGTATGTAATCATTAACGCTGCCATCTTTAGGATGAGACAGGTTCATATTTAAACGCCATGATTGACTTTTGAACGACTCCCACAGGCGATAAAGGTAAGCTGCCAAATGGTAGATGTAAGATAGCTTTCCAGGCAAGGTAATATGGATTGCTATCGATTTGAAAATTGGCAGAGGGGTATTGATATATGTCCTGAATATTCACAGCAAATTACAGACAGTTCCAACGTTTCCTTCCATCTTAAATTAATTTTCAAAGTGATGTACCGACTGAAATTTATTTAGTCGTACTTGCTTTGCCAAATCATTCAGTCTCGAGTCATTTCGACCAAGTTGTCAATTTTTCAAATCGGTGTAACGACTGTAGCCGCAATCATTTACGTTTGCGTTCTCAAAATTGTCACAGCACTTTACCGTTTGACGCTTACGCATTGATTTGGAAATTTACAATTCTATAACAATATAGTAATCCATTCTGAATACTGACAGCAATTTTCAGACCTATCACACACGCCGAACTATATATTACTAAGCAATAAACAATATGGAAGGCAGTCTACATTGTTACTTGTGATCACGATTGTTTATTTGAAATACATGTCTATGTAAGAGGTTAATAATGAATTCTTCTGTTCAACGTATTTTAATTGTGAAAAGGTAGCTAGGACTGTGTGGATCTGACGTCATTATGAGGTTGTAATTGACTTATTATTAATTTTCCTTCCAATGTTTACAAATCTATTTTTAGACTATTTAGGCTCGTTGCCGAACTTATAATCAATGTCTGAAATGGAGTCCCATTGTTAATTTTTGTTGTTCTATCGAGTACCGTTGCCGAAAATGTTCGATATGGGTAGATCCAAGTCTAATCGAAATAAAGAAATAAAAGACCGAGAATAGAGAACTCTCTTGACACATCTGCCGAATTCTTGGATAGCGGACTTGTTAAAACATGATAAAGTCAAAAGTCAGATCATAACGCACCTTCAACCTAACCTCCAGGTAATGAACACTTTGATTGACAAGATCAGCCAGCTCGAAGACCGTATAGATGATATGGAACAGTATTCGAGGAGAACTTTCCTGAAATTCTGTGGCGTTCCCGAAGATCAAAATGCATTTTCTGACAGTACAGTTATGAATATTATCAACAACGAAATCCTTTATGACCTAAATATTCATTTATCTTTTGCTGACATTGGACTCAGTCATCGTGTTGGTAGACCTAGGCTGAACCAGCCCAGAGACATCATAGTGATATTTTTAAGTTACAGGTGTAGTGCCATGGTATTCAAGAATAAAGGTTATTTGAAGAATCATAACAGGAGACCTGATCAGCAGTTACGTTCAAATAACCCAGCAGTTAATACTGGTCCTTCTTTAACGTCTACACCTCTCTCCAGGATAACAGATTTCTTTAATAATGAGCGAAATTCCACCTCAGCATCACAAGTTCGTGTACCTAACCAAACATCAAGAGCAATTTCCCCGAGAGTCAGCAATGATCCTTTTCCCGAACAACCAGCACAATAGGAATTATCCAGGTCTAATAGATTTGAAAATAGATCTTGAGTAATCAAGACACATTACTAAGTCATATTGCCACCTTTCGTGTCGATATCGCGATCGGGGGTGATCAGGGTGTAATGCAGCAATAGGGGAACTGTGCCTTGACTTTAGCGATTTATTTAACATAGTATGAGGTGTCTGATCGTACTGCAAATTGCTGTGAGTAATCAAGATACATTAATAAGTCAAATTACAACGTTTCGTGTCGATATCGCGATCGGGGGAATCGAGTGCGATGTAGCAATAGGGGCAAAGAGGGGCGACTTCAGCGATTGATTAAGCAATTTACCGTTATGAGAAATCAATGTTTATCTTTTTTACTTCTCCTAAATATTTAAGCATTTGATTAATACAATCTGTACCTGCAAATATTTCTATTATATTCTGTCATACATACATTTTTCGTAGTTTTTCTAAATTAACTTTGGCCAATCTCTTTTTTTTTTACTTAATTCAAAGAAATGAGATGAGATGAATAGCCGATTATTCATTGACCTATTGAAAGTCCTTTCGAACAAAAATAACACGTGACGATTTTTGAATTCATTTAATTTAATATGTGAATTTGAAAGTATTAGGAGAGACGTAGGTTTGAGTATACCGATATAATACGTCATATATTTTTTGATGTGTGGATTTGTTTTTTCCGATTTAATGCAAAAAAAGGATTATATTGTTCATTATCTGAGAAATATAAGGTGTACGCATTGGTATGTATTTAGCTGTAGATTAGACTTTTTCCGATTGGATGTATTGTAATTCGTCCAATCGGAAAAGTCATATACTACTTCTATGGATTAATAGCAAATATGAAAAAAAATGTCAGAAGAAACTCGACAAGTATAGTTCAAACAACTA